AGGAAATAGCTCCCGTGGTGCCAGATCTCGTCCCTACCCCAAGGCCATTTGTTAAGCTTTCATTATAATAATAATCAATGAAAGCGTACCCGACTTGGTACTTGCTGGAGGAGGTCTTGTCGTAGAAGGACTCAGACATCAATTTCTTTTTTGTAAATAAAATCAGTTCCTGAAACAGGTAGATGGAAAATTGGAGGAGCAGCCTACCTTCAGTGCTGCCGCACGGGCCTTTTTTCGTCGCCTCTTACGGGATGAAGAGGAAGAGGAAGAGGAAGATGAGGAGGAATCATCGCTATCGCTCGACGAAGATGAGGACCTTTTCTTCTTTTGCTTACGTTTCCTCTCCTTTCGGTTCCGCTTCTTCTCCCTCCGCTTTATCCGTTCGGCTTCAGAATCACTACCATCTGCAAGACAGCGGCGGTGCGTTGCCTGCTCTTCATCCATGTTAAAATTCCCTGGGTCTCCTTTTTTTAAAACATAAAAATAAATTTTCTCACACATAATAGTATTCAGGCCTGAAAGGATGATAAAGAAAAGGGAGGGAAAATGCACAAAATCGAAGAAAATAGGCCAAAATGGAGGATAAGAGGCCAAATACTGACCAACCACAACGCCAATGATGAGTTTTCTCACTGGAATGTCAACAACAACATGTATAAACTTGTCAATGGGTAGCATTAAAATACCATTATAATGAGAGAGAGAAAAAGGAATGACCAATTTCTGTCATGTACATGTGTGTGACAACCAAAAATATATACAACCAGACACTTACTTTATCACATACTCCAGTCCCTCACATCTACAGCCTATCCTCAATCATTGACTGGCTCCTTGATCAGAACCCCCTGAGGTACATCACCAAAGCCATGGGCTGGCCAATGTGCTGTGATGAAGCCTTTTCTTTGTTTTGTGCCGCCTACCCAAGTTGGCGCTGGTGATTTCTATTTCTTTATTTGGTCTGGATTTTCTTCGAAAACAAAGAAAAAAGAAAATCGTCAACGCAAATTCAGCTGTTCCAGGAACACGTCCACAATGGCAGTGCGTGTTTGGCGGGAAAAACCGCATTTGGCGGGAACAGGAAGTAGTCGCAATAGATACAACAGCGACCAACATGGTGCATATCAAAAAGGTCGTAATTCAGGGGTTCAAGAGCTACAAAGAGCTATTGGACTTGGAGCCTTTCAGTAAGGGCAGTAATGTCATCGGTACGCCCCGGCCGCTCGCCCCATACAAACGAATTAATGATTGACACGAAGCTTTCACTGTTGCTCGCCAGTGGGGCGCAACGGCTCGGGCAAGTCCAATTTCTTTTTCGGTACGCCATCATCGAACGATTATTCGTCTTTTAATTTAATCTCACCAGGCATCATTCCCTTTCAGCCATCCGTTTCGTGCTCAGCGATCTTTTCTCGAATCTTCGCGCTGATGAGAGGCAGGCCCTGCTTCATGTACGTGGTCCTCGCTGCCTAACCGCGCTTTTAGCTAACAATTTTGCCTTTCAGGAAGGCGCTGGCTCAAACGTGATGTCGGCCTATGTCGAAATTCACTTCGACAATGCTGATCGACGCTTCCCTGTGCGAGATTGCTGTTTATTTTTTAATACTTATTTGTTATTTATTTCACATCATTCGCT